ATTATTAACTATTGCATAACGGTTTGGGGTTCCTGCGGTAAAACAAAGATCTTGCCACTTGAAAGATCTCAGAGAGCTGTCTTGAAGGTTATGGCATCCAAACCAATCAGATACCCCACTAAATTAATTTACAACTTCTGGGAAGTACTCTCGGTTCGGAAACTGTTTGTCTTAGGTGTTATTCTGCGCCAACACAGAGCTGTCCCTTACAACCCAACCTCTCTCAAAAGTAAAAGACGGCACGACAAAGTATGCCTGACTCAAAAGTGTAGAATAGAGCAGGTCAAACACCATTTCAATTATCTAGCACCCCTCCTCTACAATAAAATCAATAAAGAATTAAATATATATCCCTTGAACACATATAGATGTAAAACTATTCTGAATGCGTGGCTTCTGAACCTAGATTATGATGATGTGGAATCCTTAGTTAAATAACTAATGCGAATTAAAATTCTCTCTCTCTCTCTCACACACACACACACACACACACTCACACATACACACACACACACAACCTACAGAGTACTAATTCATGATAAGTTGTTATGATAAAAATTACGTTCTATAACATAAATTATAAATGTCTGTAACGTCTGTCCTAGAGGCGGGCGCTAATGATTGCGACACAGTCCTCGACTACTGCGGTCATTAACGCTTAACATTTTTGTATATCTACTTTAAGTTTTGGTTACAAATAAAGATTTTTATTATTATTATTATTATTATTATGTTACAACTTAACATAGATTAAAATAAAATTAGGATATGGGATAGAACAAAAAATAAATCAACAAATGTCTTTTGAAGTGTCCACAGGAATAAACCGTTTCCCTTTACGCTTGATTTCGAGTGCAATAGGAATACTACCAACTACATATATATGTATATTATGTATGTGTGTGTGTACATATTTTATAACATTGAGTGACGGAACGCACAAGTCGTGCGTCTGATGGTAAGCAACACGCCTGTCCGTAACAGTGCCACTGAGAGCTTTAAATTGCAAAGATCTGAGGGGCATTACCACTGCGCCCGTCACCCTGAGACATAAGTTGACAAGGTCCATGTGCTTGTAATTTCACCAGCACCCTTACCCTTCAAAACCTGAATACTGTAATGCTGACATTATTACTTAGAGGCAGAAATAGGCAAAGTGGCAGTACTACCCTGGACGAACTCCTTCACAAGGATCTCTACTGTTACTAAATATCGATATATTTATATCGGGTTTGATACGCGGTAGGACCAATTGGGGACTGAAAATGGTTCTGGTCTGGGTGTTCTGGGATATGCTCCAGAGTGAATTCCGTTGGTCTGGTGCTCATAGTATAGGGAGTCCCCTATTTCGAGACCAAGCACTTATTGTGGTTGTCTGGCATATTATAATCTTTATTATTATTATGTATATAGTGCAACAAAAACGTTAAGTCAGCTCGTAATAATTTTTTCATCACACTCGCTCGTAAATAGTATGATTTCATGGTGGCTAACATGAGTATATAACGCCCCGTAAAAAAACCCTTGGGCCTTTTTTCTTCCCATTACAGCCATGGTAGGTAAGGTGTTTTTTAATTGTAAAACGACATCTTCCTTATAGGTCGGGTTCAAGTTCAAGCAAGGAGGTTACTTAAGTCCAAAACTGAAAAATTCGTTTAAAATGTTATCTAAACAGAAATTTTATTGCATATCACCCACATATTACTTAAATACTCATTATTACGAATTTCTTTTATTCGATTTTTATTATTTTCTGGCCGTATACAGCTTTGCATTTTGCAACATTTTAGTTCGAGTTGTACTGTCTATGAAAAACTAGCTAGTTCGCTATCTATTGATAAAAAAGAACATAAAATTCTCCATTTGCAGAATCCACATTGTTGTTGTGTTGTGAACTATATTTATTCGTACAAGAAATTAACTGACAGTAAAAAATACAAAACTCGAGTTTTAAAGCTCGGGTTTCTAGCAGACCCACGTTATGAATTTCTTACTTCCTATAATAAAAAAAATAAAAAAAATATAATAATACTGTCCTTAATGTACTATTATTCTAATGACAACAACCGTCTTTAGCGAGCAAAATTATAGTTTCACAGAGCACGGTCAACCGAAAATGTATGTAAATAAAATGTTTATTTATTTATTGCATCATTAACAATATGGATTACGTCCCATATTAATCCCTTGTTAGTGGATTACTGTCAGATCGCAGCAATAAATATAAATAGGTTTCCACGAATTTATATTTTCTTGTACATAATAAATAATAAATCGTATTCTGAATAATAAAACGACAAAATTCGAGAAGTAACATTTTCGGTAAATTTACGAAATAATGCTTTTTGTTGTTACCATGAATTTCATTGGCACTTAATGCTTTTGATAAATCTCTTAGTTACACCGTGTGCGGATCCAATAAAGTTAAAAGTATTGTCATTCGCTCAAACTTTCATGCTAATCACGATACAAAACAGCGTAGTCGGGTATGTAGTACCATTTGGTACACCAGATGTCGCGACAAGTACTAACTGGCTATTTTTATAACTAATTTGTTTTACATAGACAAGCTGCAATTCATAAAAACTACTTAAATTTCTAATAATAACAAACAAATCAACTAGATGGCGCTTATTGCACGGATTTATATTGACAGTACCAGCTATTCTTTAATTTTGTTTAGGATTACCGCCATCTATCCATATTAGGAAGCGTTAATTTATAAATTAGTTTGTAACACACAATGCCATCTATTGACATGCATATTTGTCAAACATCGAATTTGCTTAACAATAAAACTAAAACTAAATAAGATATTATTATTATTATGTTTTCTACACATTGGAAATTAAACTAGTTTTTCGGATCTAACTCCGGTCAGCCGTGACTATCGGACCTGTAAAAAAAGTTAAAGATTGGATTGTTCGAAATAACGCACACACTCATAACCCGCTCTAGAAAAAGTTATGGACACACTTAAACTCACGAAAGAAATGTAGACTGTACAAATATTTTTACCGGCCCGGGAATCGAATCCGGTACCTTTGCGTCGCAGACCAGCATATCGTTCGGCAACAGAGATCCGAAAAACAGTTTCATTTCCGATATACGTAATGAACAATCGAATATTAGTAATAATAAAATTATGATAAAAAAAAAATGAATATTAGACAACATCATATACGTTGCTCTGATCCCAAAGTGGAAATCGGAAACAACGGCGGTACCACAAAACCCAGATCCAAGACAATATAGAAAATTTCATTTCTACATTGACCCAGACGGGTATTGAACCCGGGACATCAGAGATGGCTACACCATGAAAAACCCACATAACAATAAATAGCTTAGTTAGTTAGTGTCTAGCGCGTGCCAATTATAGGTCTCGAAAGACCTATCTGATCTCAGTCTACCATTTTCGCTTTGTATGGCATAGTTGCATCATTCATTAGTCCAAATTCTCTAAAATCCTAGAAACTGACCTTATTGTGTTGTTTTGGAGTGCAAAAATGATAGCCACACCAAAAATATTGCTCGCGGTGTTATTGCATATCATCGGAAAGTCTATTTTAATAAATTTTCAGTTTCCCGTTAATCGAAATAATTTTTTGTTACAAGAACCGAAAATAAAGTTTATACCCCAGCAATATGATCGCTTCTTGTTTGGAGAACTAAATTAATAACTCCAATTTGTCGCGGTTCAGAAATTAACCGCTAGAAATTTCAATATAGTATCAAAACGTCGTCACTTGTAATAATAGGTATTGATGATATGATAGTAATGATGCATATCATTGTTAGTTCAGTACCATTGATGATATGCCAACAGGGCGAAGTTTAAATTATATTAGCAATCCAGAATTTGTTATTCCTTTTAAATTTGAAACTACGACCAATCAATATCAAGATTTTGTAGTAAATTAAAAATTTGTGAGTTTTGGCGACATCGGTTCTGATAGTAATCGAGGCCTAAGGGACTTCCAATTTTTTTTCTTCCGTGTGAAAAGCGCTGTGCAAACCATTCGACCTCTGTTGTCGAGGTCGTCAATTGAATATTGATAAGTATTTTTCACCACGACCCAAAACGTTTAAAGCTTTTTCCTGTGTTTGGGAGTCTTAACTCTCGTTCTCGTAGGAAGTGTCATTCGCAACATGCGTGTTTTCATTTGGTCGAGTATTGCTTATTTGACAGTAATCGTTTCGGACGGCGAACGAGAGTATAGAGCCTGCTGTTTAAATATCATTAGCTTCTTTTCCAGTTAGCTCAGGAATCTCGACCTTACAATGTGTCGAGGCATTTTTAAATGTTTAATTTAAGTTTTTTTTATAACTTTTATGAATTATATTTGCTCGATCATCTCAACCCACCTCCAGCACACCAGCAAGAGGGCTGGCGATAAAGTAACAGTAGAGCTTGTGAAAGAGTTCGTCCTAGGAAGTGAGTATTACTGGGTGCTGGTGAAATTTCAGGCACATGGAACTTGTCAACTTGTCTCAGGGTGATGGGCACGTTGGCAGTGCCCCTCAGATTTTTGTGTTTTAAAGCTTGAATGGCGCTGCAACTGTTGTGGATAGGTGTGTCGTTTACCACCAGACACACGACTTGTTCGTCCCGTCACATAGCATCATAAAAAAGTGTAATAAGTACAAGGAACTTGGCTCCGACTACCTATTCGCACCCTTCGGAGTTGAAACCCTTGGCTCGTAGGATTTCGATGCCCTTCATCTGTACAAAATTTATCTAAAAAATGAACTGACTGGGAAACCTAAGAGCCGGCTACTTTGGCTTTACTACAGCTACCTTGCCCAACGCATTAGTATAGTTATACAAAGGGGGAAACGCTGCGCCAGAAGCATCTTGGGCGCCTAGCCGAGGGGACCCACTTTTATGACACATTTTTTTATGAATACATATAAGTTGTTAGTATTTAAGTTTTTATTGTACCTTACCTGAATGTTTGACCTTATTGTCTAATAAATTATATTTTTCTCTTTTTCAGGTACTGGATCTCAATTGAAAGCTGGTACTCATGTTTAATTTATCTAAAAGTGTAGATAGGGTATTAAAAAAAGTTTGCAAGTGTTTAACAATCTTTTATTGTGGTTAAAATTAAAAAAGTGACTATTGAAAAAAAGACGTTTTTAAGTAAATGTTAAAATTTTTATTATATAATATTAAAGTTATGATTATCTCAAAGAATGTCAAAGGAGCCTAAAATTTAAAAGCTTTAAGTGTCAAAGAAAATCTTATAAGTTGTCTAGATTAATTACTTTTTAAATGTTCTCATACTTTTGTAGGTTCTAGTTTTAAGTTATGTTAAGGTTTTGTTAAGACTGAAATTCTGAATAATTTTATGTGTAACTATGTTAACTTAGGGTATCAATGTATAACATGCAAACTGTAATAATTTTTTAAAACAATTTTTAATCTTCTCGTATAATGATTTTAAATTTTGTAAATTTACAGACAGCTTGCAAAATAAGAATTGATATTTTTATAAGTTATCATGTAATTTTTTTTACACTTTAAGGTTTTAGTTAGTTAAAATTTATGTAACTTTGTAAATATGTTTTCTTTTTAATAAATGAACTTTTGAATGTCACTTTCTTACGCTTATAAATTGTTTTTAAAATTATGTTGCAATCGTTGTAAATCCACTTGTATCTGCCATCGTTGGTAGGTTCTTTTGTAAAGCGTTATACAAAATTTCGATTAACCTGTTTGTCATTAAATAATTAACCAACAATGGATCTGTACCAACATCACAAAGATTTTCATTCTCTGTTATAAAACTTTTAACAAGTTTACTGCTTTGCATGTCATTCAAAATAATAAATACAAACATGTAGGATCAGCCGCCGTCGGTATGCGTACGGACGAGTTCGGAAGTCGGTCGGAGTTAATTTTGTTGAATATTACTTATTTGTTTCGGACGGATGTCGGACGGAGATCGACAGTAGCGCCCCTGATTCATTGCCAACTCGTGCCGAGCCGCGTTCGTACGAACTGATGCGAACCGCATAACATCGTTTTCGCTCTTACGTTCATGGACATAAGCTTTTTCTGCCCCGCCATTGACTTACAATTATATGGACGTCGGGTCCGCGCTAAAAAGTGTCCGCACTTGTAAGGCGCTAAAATCGTATACAGAGCGCGACACTCCGCTTTAGTCTTCACTTGTTCTACTGACAGCGCGATACTGCGATGACATTACAATTTAAATTTCGAATAGGTTGACTTGGGACATTTTTTTCGTGGTTTTTGTATTAGACCCGTCGTCCATTTATTTGTAAGTCAATGTTTCCCGCTTAATGCGATTCTGCGTTAATTAGCGTGGTGACTCCCTATACTTTAACTTCGCTGTTACGTTACGTACATTAGTAAATAAATATTTAGTAGAAATACCTCTCGCTAACGATGAAGGACAACATTGTGATGAAACTTGCACATCGAATACGGTTCAAAACCCTTGGAAAATGTTTTCCCAACTAGGCCATGTACTTTCGTTCTCCATCCTACATCCGTCCGAAGCAATTACTGTCAAATAAGTAATACTCGACTAAATTAAAAGGCGCATGATGCGAATGAAGCTTCTTGACATTGTTTTTTTTAATTTAGTCAAGTATTACTTATTTGACAGTAATTGTTTCGGACGGCTGTCGGACGGAGAACGAGAGTAGACCCACAGGCCCTGTAGGTACAGTCAAGAGCACGTCAAGCATGACACTTTGTACTTTGGATCTTTCTTATCGTAAGCGGCATAGAGTTGGATTTAAATTTTAAGTGTCATGCTTCACGTGTTCTTGACCCTGTACCTACAACAAAAGACAATGTCAAGTATGAAGCTTCATTCGCATCACGCGTCTTTTCATTTGGTCGAGTATTGCTTATTTGACAGTAATTGTTTCGGACGGCTGTCTGACGAAGAACTAGATTAGACACCCAGCACTGTGCCAACGTGGCGCTCTATGGTCTGAACTAGGGATGCACGATTTTTTGTTTTGAATCGAATTTTTGGATCGTATGCACTTGAATTGAACTCTAAAATTTCGGTTGAAAAGAAATAATAATTTTGACAGCCTATTTGGCTTCAGTCGATTACGACTTTCATTTGGTGATACTAGCCAGTGTGAAAAGAAGTTCAGATGGCACAGAAGTATCGACAATTGCCAAATATTGTAGACTTATTGTACTTAGATGTTGCCAAACTGCTTTTCTTGCAGCTCAATATAAAATAGGGGTTCATCAGATAGAGGCTGTTTGGTTTAAATTATTAATACGATCTAGAAGATTAGATTCACCTTAGTGTAGAGTCGATTTACTTATAAATCGCATTGAAATGAATCGATACAAAAAATCGCTACATCGTATACACTTAAATGGATCTTCATAAAAATCTCGAATCGTAATGTGCATCCCTAGTCTAAACACCCTCCTTTGTATGTAAATTTTAGATTAGGTTCTGTTTATCATCAGAAGAGCTCTAAGCATTAAACGTGAGTTTAACACTTCTTTGAAGAAATTGCATTACTGTATACGCTTTCTGGCACAGGCGCATCGAGAATTTGATTTTGGTGTAATGCTTCGCCTTGAGTGTCTACGAGGCTGCTCCCCCGATGTACTATACAACCATAATTATATTTGTCAATTTGTACATTTAACAGTACTGCTAATTTAAGTCTTTAAAACATTTTTACGGAACTACGTTGATAGTGCTTTAAGATCTATGAATAAAAATGTTTTTCGATAACACTTTGTTTCATTTATTCTTGAATATAGAAGTTTCTTTTACGTTGAATCGTAAGCACAATAAAACAAAAACAATATTGAACTTGTAGCCAGGCAACTTGAAACCATAGATACATAGATAGATATACACTTTATTTCTCACACATAAGAACAAAAACTGGTACATAAACAACTTAAAAGTTATGTGGGCGAAGGTGGCGTTATCGCTAAGAGCGATCTCTTCAATTTGACGGTGATACCTCCAGTTTTGATGCACGTTATTAAATTATGATCCTAAAACGTCGCTTTGTAGGACTCTCGAGCCCAATGAGACTCATATCTGTTAATACGGTAAAAAAATGAGTTTATTCAGTAATTCGCCTATTATATTCATAATACTTTAAAGAGGAAGTAAAAGCACAAAGTGTGAAGACAATGAACGCTGAATTACAAGATGAAAGATCAAAGTGGTGTAAACAATAGGATGCCGTCGCGTCACTCTATGGCACTTACACCTTCTGATCTCGAGGGTACTTCTACGTGTGACAAGGAAATTAGATGATTGAACAGCACTGTTTTCATATTTATAGGGAGACTGAATTACTATGTACAGCATTGTAGAATTATGGACAATAATTCAGGGACTTATAATTTGGATTCTGAACTAAAACTCTTAGAATTTTTTTATACGTTTCTATTATCGTATTTTATTATCTTCTAGGATGAAATCGAACAAACCAACCTAACGGAAATTATGACTAATCGTGCAAAAATCACAAAAACCTTAGCGTTCAAAACGTTGATATTATCGTGATAGCTTTTGATATACTTTATGTTACAATTGTGGTATCTGATATTGGAGGTAATTTTGGACTTCAGCTCTTTTCATGGCCCTCCACTTGCGGTGAGACGCGACGGAAGCAGTTTCAGGTACTTGAGCAGACAAGTACCGTTGAAGATTATTAATTTGCTTTTTATGACAAACGAATTCTTTGTATTTGTTCAAAATTCAAACTGGGTTTTACTTAACCGTTTGGTGGTATTGGCGCAAACTGGAATTTTGTTCCAATATTTATCTACGTTAAGAACAAGTTTTGTACAAATCAAAGCAGTGCTTTTATAACTTTTGTATAACCTTGGTAAAACTTTATTTAATTGTCTAGTATATTTGGAAGAGAAAACTACCAGCGCTTTATTATCAGGAATTACAGAAAACTAGGTTTAGGATTCTAACGAAGAAAGGGTTTTGGTTTGCGTTTTTAGAATCAAAGGGATACATTTGTAAGGATACTTCTATTAATCCTTTCTATATCATGAATTTCGATTTGTGTTTAAAGCTGTTCAGGCAAATTGCTTAGATCACATAAATTGTCAATTAGAAGGTCAAATTTGGAGGTCGTCATTGCCTTCTTCTAATATTGGAGGAGTTGATTCCGTTTTCACTTCAATCTGCTTTTCTCCTCCAAGAAAAAAATTATGTTATAACCGGAATAATTGTAATATTTTTGGTTTATATCTTCCTTGCACAACTTGTTGGTTTACTGCTAAAAATAAAATCCTTTTAGATCATAATTTTCACTGACCTTGATTCTCAAAGTAGGGTAACTGGGTACATGAGTGCCAGTGTGAACCAGAATAAACAACTTTACACTAAACGAACGACTATATTTTTAAGTATATGAATTTAAACAATATTAAAACATGAAATATGAATAAAAGTAAATTAGTAAATAAATAGCTGGAGCGAACGATATGGACAGTATGGGAAAAAATAGAAAAGGAGTGAGAAAAAGAACAGAAATATACCTATTTACGTTTAATTTATGTAATACATAAATTAAACGCAATAAAAATACAGCACATGACAGTGACAATCAAAGATAATAAAAAAAAAACGAGAATTTGGCAAAGAATATGAAAAAGCAAGGAGTTAAACTTAGAGGATGGAAAAAAAATTAGTTAAATAGCAATATATAGCGACAGTTATTACGAGGATAAACTCTGTCACGAGAAACTCCTTCTTGATTATTAACTATTTTACCAAAACATTGTGATTGAACTCATTTATTTTTTCCTAAATGTAACGTAATCTTAACCAACAGTTTTCCAGTTATAAAATTAACAGTTAATATTAAAAAACACACAGCGTTGCAAACGCAGCGTCAAGCCGAGCCAAAATTACACCACCGCACAGTGAATCAATTATGACATAATTGCGCAAAACACAATGTATGCAGACGGAAGTGGTGTAGCGGCCATTTCCCGGTTCCTCTCGTTTTATTTAGTTTAAATTATTATGAACTCTGACTTGGTTATTTTCATCCACTGTGTTGTTTATATTATATATGTATACGTAGGGTTATTAGTAACCTCGCAAGACTGTTGGCATTATGCTAACATTATAAAATGGGTGTTCTGGGACTGAAGTACTCATAGTACTGAGAATTCCCTAGTTTCAGACCTGGCAATTATTGCGGTAGTTCCATGACTTTTTATAAAACATAAAACGTTGCATTTATTGAGATTTTTTTGTAATATTACTCTGCTAGTTTGATGTAATTATTAATATAAAGATTGAGCACTTAAAAAAATTCCTTCAATTCGGCTGGATTTGAACCGATATCTTCTAGTAAACAGTGCCAGACGCTATGCCAACTAAGCCACGGAACCAACCAGCGGA